AAGGCTGAAAGCACGTAGAAACTCCTCAGGCACACCAAGGGGCTCCACAAACCCCCGGCCTGTCCTCCTCCGCCTCCTCCTCCTCATCCTCAGGGTACTCCGAAATTCGTAATGAAACGACCGGGTTCAGAACACGTCAGTCGAGACATGTTGGACCACCCCCCCGACCAGCCATGAAAGGGCGATTTTTTGTCCAACCCCCCCAGAGTTTCCGAGACAGCTCCAAGCAGCCCCGAAGGAGGAGGAGGAAGAGGAAGAGAAGGATTACCAGCCTCGAACGTATCCCTATCCCTAGGATTGACACTCCAAAAGGCGATGACAATCTTAGAGATTCGCCCTCAAAAAAAATGGGAATCCCTAAGATTGGCATCGTGATGAGGAGGTGCCCAGCATAGGGATAGGGATATGTTCCAGGCTGGTAAAAAGGAGGAAGAGGAGGCCACTCCCCGAAATCAGACCACTCCCCTCCTGTTGTGAAGTCGGGAGTACCAGAGGCGTCGAGGGCGGACCCTTGGCTCATGCCAGGGGGCCCGTTGCGGGAGTTGTTCGGTGATCGGTTCGCGGAAGCAAGCAGGGGAGGAAATGGTACCATTACCGCTAATTTCGAAGAAGGAAACAAATAGCAGCATGCATTGTTGGCGCTCCGCGCGGATCTTTTGGATCCGCGCTGGGCCCCCATGACGGCGCCTCTGGCACCCTGGGTCCGGCGCAGATCCAAGAACTCCGCGCCGAGCGCCAAAAGTTTGTGTTTATGCAGTTTTTTCTTTTTCTGCATATCGCTACCGTCCGCCCGATCTCACCACTGGATTCGCCTCGAAAACCTGGTCAGAACGCACCCCGGGAGAGGTCCGGGGAGTACACAACGCGGTCCCTTTTGGCTTCCCCAAGAAGGTGGGAGGGGCCCAGCCTGGAATGGCAAGGAGCGTTTCTGCTCCAGGGTTTTCAGCTCGGCACGGCTCGTGCCTCGTTCATTGTCTCCAGGCTTTCGATTCGAACGAGGGGGAGGCAAGGGATCTTTCGGGGGCCCCCAAACGGGGCGGTGACCGCACCGTGCGGTGAGTCGGTGGGGATTCGGGGTCACCGCACGGCTTTGGGACTCGGCTCGTTCTCCGAGGGCGTCTCGGGCGACAGGGGCCTCCAGGGTCCCAAAACCGTGCGGTGGCGGCTTGAGGGATTTCGAGGTCACCGCACGGTGTGTCACCGCACCGCTTCGGGACTCCAATGCATTGCCCGAGGAAGAGTGCGGGTTTTGTTCTAAGGGGGGGCCTGTCGCTGGCTCTCGACCTGGGTGCGTCGAGCACAGACGGGGTGTTCAAGCACGTCCTCTTCGATTGAGCCCTATGGGCAGTTTGGGACTCGTCAGACTCGCTCCCTGTCCACTGCATGTTCAAACTCATGGGAAGGATTGTACTAGTGGAGCCCATAGCACACACTCGAGATCGTAAAGTAACCATGTACTACGACATCTGAGTTTCGCGGCTCCGGCGCCCCCGCCGAGCTCTTGGAGGGCCGCCCCCTGGGGCGCACATCGGCGCCTGTTCTGTCCTGTCCTCTCTCTCTCTCTCTCTCTCGCTTTCTTTCTATCTCTTCCCTTAGTGGTGTGAAGTCCGCTCAACACGCCTCCTCCCCCCGTTATTCCTGCTCGTATGGTGGTTTGCTCAGCGCTCGCCGAGCCGAGCTGGCCGCAAAAAAGGAGGGCCCTCCGCGAGCTGGGGGGGCAGCAATATCATGGATGAATGAAAATCAGGCGTGATTTCAACGGAAGGAGCGGGTTATGCAACGAGCGTGGGGGTTAAGGAAGAGGAGGAAGAGACAGAAGGGCAGCAGAGAGAAGGAGGGGGGTGAAAGACAGATATAGAAAGAGAACGAGGACGAGCAGGTAATACGATGAGACAGAGGAGCACAGGACGAGAACGAGGAAAGGAAGGAGTAGAGGAAGAGGAGTACGAGGAAGAGGAAGAAGCAGACGAGAGAAGCAGGGGGAGGCAGGCGACGACGATATGGAGGAAGAGGCGGAATGAATAGGAGGAGGAGTCGGGGAGGGGGTGAGGGGCAAGATGAGGTGGAGACGGAATAGAAGGAACATAAGGCAGGAGGACCCATTGGAAGGGCGAAGGGCTACGAGGAAATGGTGGAAGAGCAGGTGGAGGAGGAATAGCAGCTACGGTGCCACAGGATGGAGTGGGAAGCAGAGGAGGAGCCCTAGGAGTTCTAAGGGGAGGAGCACACAATTAATCCATACAGGATGGGAGGGACTAGGAGAAGGAGGAGGAGGAGGAGGAGGAGGAGCGCCGCGTGGAGGGAGGGGTGTGGAGGGAGGTCAGATAACATTGCGCCCGAGGAGGAGGAGAAGAGAAGGAAGAGGGCAAGCCACCCCATTCGGGGCGTTCGCCCGGTTCCTTCTTCCCCCCTATCCCCCCCCTCTTTCATCTTCCTATCCTTCTCATCTTCCTCCTCCTCCCCCTCTTCCCCCCACTTTTCCTACCCTGCCCTCCTCTCCCCCCATTACACCCCCCTCCTCGTCCTCTTTTCTCATCCTTTTCCCCTGCCCCTCCCCTCCTCCTCCTCCGCCTCCTGCTCTTCTTCTCCCCTCTACCCACTTCCATTATCCCCCCCTTCTCCCCTTATCCCTCCTCCCACCCTCTTATTCCCCCTGGACTATCTTCCCTCCTCCATCCCTTCACCCCCTCCTCATCTTGAGGCTGTCGCTGCACCCTTCCCAGCTGGTCGGCCCCCGCGCTTCTGAAGTCCAGAGACAGACTTGTGTGTTTCCTGCCTGCTTCTCCCACCTTCCTGAGCAGGACGAGGACAAGAGAAGTGATCTGGAAACGGCAGGGCCGTTTATGTTACATATTCCGTTTTGCCGTTTGTTTGCTTGCTTGGGTGCCGTTATTGGGGGGTCCGTCGCCATTGTTTTTTGTAGTACCCGTTCAGGTTCCGGCTCTATTTTCGGAGCCGTTGTGTTTGTTGTGTCCAGTTTGTGTTTTTGTTAATTTAATCGCTTCGCTCATTCCGCCGGCCCATCTTGGTGCACGGCTGTCGATTGCCCCAGTGATCGGAGTAACTGCGGCTGATGGGTTTGGTTGTTGGTCATGGATGGTCGGCTTGTGGCGACCTTGCCGGGAGGAGCCATTTTTTGCATGCCTGAGCCGTCTTATCTGGAAGGTGGCGGTTCGTGAAATTTTATCGCAGGAAACAAGAAAACAGTTTGCAGTCTCCTTGTCCTCTGAACTTCCTCCTTCCGCTGCTATGTGTAATCGTGCGTGTGTGTTGGGGAGGGGGGGGGGCGGGGGGGTTGGGGTAGGGGGGTAGAGGCGCGAGCGTGGAAAGTGTGGGTGGCAGAGGAGGAGGAGGGGGGGGAGGTGGGGGAGGAGGAGGCGGAGGGAGTAGAGGAGCAGTGGAAGATGGAGGAAGGATCAGAGGCACGGGGGGTTTGGGGTGAGAGAGGTTGTTCATTTGAAGTCTCTTCAGGGTCTTTTGGGAGGCTCTCGGCGGCCTCTTGGCGGTATTTGTTGGTCCTCCTGGGGCTTCACGGCGCTTCGCCGCATGAAGCGCTGTTGGGGTGTCCCGGGAGCCTCTTAGAGGCAGTTTTGAAGCCTCGTGACGGTCTCTTGGGAGGCTCTCGGCGGGCTCTTGGCGGTATTAATTAGTCTTCTTGGAGCCTCACGGGAGCTTATTGGGGCGTCTTGGGGGTGTCTTGGAGGGTCTTTCGGAGCGGAGGATTTCAAATTCACGTTGGGGTTCCTCGTGGGAGGCTCTCTTGGAGTAGTCGTGGGAGTCTCTTGGGCCGTCTCGGTTTGGGGTATCTCCGGTGCTTCTTAGAGGCAGCTTTGAAGTCTCTTCAGGGTCTCTTGGGAGGCCCTCGGCGGTCTCTTCGCGGTATTTGTGGGTCCTCCTGGGGCTTCACGGCGCTTCACCGCAATCAGCGTTGTTGGGGTGTCTCGGGAGCCTCTTAGAGGCAGTTTTGAAGCCTCGTGACGGTCTCTTGGGGGGCTTTCGGCGGGCTCTTGGCGGTATTTGTTGGTCCTCTTGGGGCCTGGGGCCTGACGTTGTTGGTCCTCTTGGGGCCTCACGGGAGCTTATTGGGGCGTCTTGGGGGTGTCTTGGAGAGTCTCTTGGGGCCTCTTTCGGGGTCCTGGGCGCCTTCTGGGGCGGAGGGCTCGATTTTTCAGTTGTCGGTTCCCTTCTTGAGCCCCTCTTGGGCCCGTCTTGGGGCCTCTTGGTCCGCCTTGGGCGGCACTTGGGCCGTCTGGGGGGCGCTCTTGGGCCGCTCCGGGGCCGTCTTGGGAGCCTCGTGGGCCGTCTTGGAGCAGTCTCGAAGGCCTCTTGGGCCCTCTTGGAGCGTCCGGAAACCAAAAGGCCAGAACGCAAAAACAACATGGAAAAAACAAGTGAAAATCAACGATTTTGGCGACTTGGGGCCCTCTTCGGAGGCCTCTTGGAAGGCCCTTGGAGCGTCTTGGAGGTCTCTTGGGCTGTCTTGGGGCCATCTGGGGCGCCTTCGGGCGATCTTTGGCCGTCTCGGGCCTCTCGTGGACCGTCTAGAAAGCTTCTCGGGGCCCTCTTGGACCGATCTGGAGCCCTCTTGGACTCCGAAACAGAACTCCGGCATCTCTGACCCGACCTTGCCGGGACCTTGCCGGGGACTTGCCGGGGACTTGCCGGGACCTTGCCGGGGTACTTTTCGTCCGGGGACCTTCAGGGGCCGCCCCGCGCGCGCGAACTAGAAATACTGTTAACCAGGTACCGGAGATCTTAGCACGCCCTGGCCCGTTGGGCCGGCGAATTTTTTCCAATATCAAGCGACTTTTCCGGCCCTGCCGTTCCCGGGGTCCACTAAGTGATGAGGATGAGGGGGGAGGGGGGGAGAAAATTTGGGGAGGAACAAAGGAGGTAGAGGAGGAGGAGGACAGGGACAGGGAGGAGGAAAGGAAGGGAAAAGGGAGGAGGAGGAGGAGGATGTGGAGGTGGAGAAGGATCCTCTCGCGAACGCCGCGGAGGCCGCCACACCTCCATCCTGCACAGCACCGAGTACAACAGCGACCCCAGCCCGCCAGTTTCCTGCCGCCCTCCACCCCCCCCTCCTCCCGTTGCCTCGGGGAGGAGGGGAGGGCGAAGGGTGGAGGAGGGAAAAGGAGGAGGAGGTGGAGGAGGCGGATGAAGAAGAAAAATAAGAAGAACAACATACTAAGGAATACAAGCGGGAGGACCCCTTATGCAGCCCCCGAGGGGCCCTGCCGAGTGAGGGCGGTGGACACGAAGCGCTGCTGGCGCTGGGCGCGACCGAGCCACGCAAGGACGAGGACGGGGGGGGGGGCGGGCTTCGTCTCGGGCTCGTGCGCGGGCGTGTGCTCTGTCTGGGGCTCAGGTTTGGGTTCGTGCTCGGATTTCGGCCCGGGCTGCGGGTCGGGCTTGGGGGGTGGAAGGTTCGAGGGGCAGGACGACGAGGAGGAGGAGGAGGAGGAAAAGGAGGATTATGAAATGGGATGCGAGGGATGCTGGTGACGATATGGGTGGTGTTGTTGAGGATGGTCACGATTGCCGTGATGTTTGCACCAGCCATGGTGATAGTACATATGCTTGCGCTGCTGCTGTTGATGTTGATGTTGCCCGTGAAGAAGATGATAATGCTGGTGATAATGATGAAAGGGCAGGAGGAGGCCGAGGACGAGGAACGAGGATGAGGATGGGAGGAGAAGGAGGAGAGACGTGGAGGATGAGGACGACGACGAGAAAGAGGAGGAGGACAGGGAGAATAACCAGGCGTGGGCAGATGGGCGGGAGGTAGACGATGAGGAAAAGGAGGGAAGAATACTTCCAGGGCGAGGAATAAAAGGAGGGGGGAGGCCGAGGAGGAGAAGAACAGTTTGCTCAAGGAGGCCCTCGGCGTGTCCGCACGCGTTGCCGCGGGACGCGGCGCGAGGGCGCCTGGACCTTGCAAGACCGAGCTTGAATGGCCACGGACGGTGCAGGAGGAGGAGAGCGAGAGAAGGAAGGAGAGGGGGGCGGAGTGCAGCAGTGCCACCTCCTACTAGGCCCGCCGTTGTTGTTCTCGGACCTCCGACCTGGGGCTGTATGGGACGACCGCGCGCGAATTCGTGCAGGCACTCTTTGGGCCCCCTCCCCGGAGGCAGGCCGAGCGCTCCGCGCTTGGCCAGCTCGGGCGTTCCGTGCCGGGCACGAAACAGACGCATGGGGGGGAAGGGGGAGGAGAACGAGCAACGAGAAAATGGGTGAAGGCGAACGAGAAGAGGAGGAGCAGGATATCGAGAGCGGGGGGGGGGAGGCGAGCGAAAGGATGGGAGGAGGCAAATGAGACGAGGGGGAAAAAGGGGGATGGAGGCAGAAAGTAAAAGGGGGGGCAGGAACCGAACGAGAGGAGAGGATGAGGAGGAGGAGGAGGATGATGATGAGGAGGAGCAGTAGGATTAGGATTAGGACTAGGACCAGGACTAGGACTTCGACGACTACTGTGGCCTGCCTCCGCAGAGGCAGGCCCGAACAAACATGTCATGGGCAAGAAGAGGGGGCGGCCGCGCTTGGCACGAGCTGCCCACCCCAACCGGTCCCCTCAGCAGGGAAGCGCATGGGTGGTAAGATGTGCCAAGAGACACGTGTGCAAAATGGAAGGAGCCTGTTTTTTTACACCGCAATTCTTGACAAGCATACGCTGTTGAACATAATGCAATGCAGCCTTATCGGCCCAGCGGCCAACAAACAGAGTAACACATTGGAGCCCCATTCGCGGAAGCGGCATTATCAAACTCCTGCTCCACGGGTAGGCCTCGGATGGCACGCGGCAGAGCCAGGGCGGGATGTGCCCGACGCCTTCTGACAAGCGCGGCGCCGATTGCTTCGCTCGAAGATGCGCATTTTGTTGCGCTTGTTGTGCGCTTCTCGGGTCGGGGGGCCCTCGTTGGAGACCGTCCTGGGGGGGTTTATAGGGGCCCTCTTGGGGCGCTTCTCCTGTTAGGGGCCATCTTGGAGACCGTCCTGGGGGGGCTTCAGAAGAGGGCCCTCGTGGGCCCCTCGTGGGGCCCCGCGGGGGGCCGAAATGGCACGGCGGCAGGGCGCGACGGGCCCCCCGGGGGCCACGCGACGCGCCCCGAGGCAACCCCCAGGATGGGGGACCGGGGGTTGGGAGCGAAAACCAGAGGATTGGCAGACCTTGTTGGAAAGGCGCCTTAGGATTTTGAGGACTAAGGACTGAGGATTGAGGACTAGGATTGAAGACTAAGGATTGCAACTCGTGCCTCAAGCGCACGGTGGTGGATTCGCAGACTTTGTTTCCTCGTGTGCGTACCGCTGCACGCCAGCACACACATGTTCGACGGCTGCACCAGTCATCCTATGGAGGGTTCGTCCAAGCAGTCGTATTTTCAGTTGTGCGATAAGCGTTCTTTGGGCATGATTTGGGTGGAGGGACGTCGGGGATCCTGCGGCGACGGAAGTGTCATAGTTGGTTCGGGGGCGCGAGGGAGATCCTTGAGTCGGGCCGGGCGAAAGGGGGGGATTGGGAAAGGGGGGGTTACGAAATTTGCTGCATGCAGCTGGTTTCGGCCTCACCGACGGGCCCATTCCTCGATACGTAGCCGCCTCCGGCGCCGGGAGGCGCCGGGAAGATCAGCTACGCGAGCTGATTCTCAACCCCCCCCTTTGCTATCCCCCCCTTTCGCCCGGCCCGATTGAGTTCACGCTGGTTGGGCGCCGCGTAATGGGGGGGTCATAAATGGGGGGGGTGGCGAGCGTGGTCCGAAAAGGTACCCAAACGGTACCTAAACGAGCCCCCCTGGGGCTCTGGAGGGGCCCGAAACGGGCACGAAAAGGGACCTTTTCTGACCCCCCCATTTGTGACCCCCCCATTAAGCCACGCCCAAGCTGGCCCGCGCAAGCTGCTTCAAAGTGTGCCCAGAGTGCCCAGCCCTGTCGGAAAGGGGAGTCCTTTGCGCAGCGGGGGCGCCCGACGTAGGGGCGGGCGCGCGCCTCCCGCGCGCCCTTCCTTGGGCGCCCCGTGCGGCCTACAATTTGAGTCAAGGTCCTCCTCCTCCTCCTCCTCCTCCTCCTCCTCCTCCTCCCTCCCTCCCTCCCTCCCTCCCTCCCTCCCCTTCCTCCCTCCCCCCTCCTCCCTCCTGTGCGGGCTATGATGCTCCAACCTATTCTACCCTTGGTCGCCAGAATTTCGAACACCAAGAAATACCGAATCTTGAGGGTTTCACGCGCCGGGCCCTGGGAGGCGGTATATTGGTTCGACACTACTTCGATCATTTTCTGGGTGCTCGCAATTGTTTCTGGGGCGTGGTCCTCAAGTACGCCATTTGGGTCATCTCGCGGCCCGGTGCTCTCCAGATAGCACCCCGCACAGCGCCAAGCCTGCGCGCGTAGCCATCGCGCGCCATGGCTTTGCGCCACCGCAGTTCCAATCAAACAGTGCCGGCGTTGTGCTAACAGGGGGAGGAGTCTACATGTCATTGTCTAGTTTTGAATCCATCGGTCACCGGCCAGGCGGGTCGCCCTTCGAGCATTGATTCTTGATCCCCGGTCCTCGATTGATCCCTCGATCTTTCGAGCAGGGCGTTCACCGTGACGAGTGCCCACGGAGTTCCTGCTTGATGAGTCCAGGGAGGGTGGGTGGAGGGTGTGGAGGAGCGGCATAGTGGAGGGTGGGAGAGTCCGCGCAGTGACCAACACGGGCAGCGGCATACCGGCGAGGCTAATTCTAGCAGCTGGGCTGGTTATTTCGGCGTTTCTTCTTGCAGGAATGATTGGTGAACCAGTGACGCAGTCGTGCTTTTGGCGCGACGTATAGCTCCACACAGGTTTGCACGTTCTGTTTGGAGGAAAGTGCACTGACAAAGGCAACCAGCAGGATGCGATGAGCGATACCTCCCCAGTGGCAACCCAGGGCAGCGGCATACCAGCGAGGCTTATTCAAGCAGCCGGGTTTGCCACCTTGTCGTGTCGTCTTGCATCATTGATTGGCGAACCAGTGACGCAGTTATGCCTTTGACGCGACGTATAGTTCCATTCAGTTTTACCCTTTCTGTTTTCAGGAAAGGGCATTGGCAAAGGCAACCCACTGGGCACGAGCGCGATGCGCGATCTATACTGTGACCAATCAGCAACGATTCGAACGGATCGTAAAAGCAAAGAGTTTGAAATCCAGCGCGGGACAAAGCAGAGAGACCCCTTCAGCTCACTATTGTGTAATAGTGTTTCAGAGTACGTCGTTAGCAGGGTCAAGGAAACATTGGTGAAAGCGAAGACCGGTGTACCATTGTTATCGAACAGAGCTCGGCTTACAAACTTAGATTTCGCAGACGATGTATTGCTCCTTGCGATTTCCCTGGAGCATGCCGCCCAGATGGTCGGCGACTTACACAAAGCAGTTGGTAAAGCGGGTTTGGTTCTGAAGCCGGAAAGTCAAACAAACATATTTCACAACGGTTACGGCGGCACGCAGAAATATCAGAAAGCAGCTACTGTGAACGACGACGATATGGAGTTCGATATTCTACCTGTGTCGGAACACAACATATCTTTGCTGACACTCGTGTTTCTCTGACATCCATGCAGTTAAGGTCGGGGATCGAATTTAGATGGCGTGGACAAGTTTTTTGTCAAACATGAATTCGCTGGCCGCAGATCTTCGCTACGGGACCTCATGCGTCTATTCAACGGCGTTATTACGCCGACAGTGCTGTATGGCTGCGAATCGTGGACCCTGACTGTGGAGCTCGGAAACAAGATACGCCGCACTCAAAGACACATGCTCAGAGTGATCATCTGGACGCCGCGTCGCAGATGGGAGCAGCCAGACGGGGGCCAGGCAAAGCAAGATACTTCTAAATATGTCGACAGCGTGGGCGACGTGGACAGCGTGGTCGACGAAACCCAACACGCACCAGTGACAAGGCAACCTACAGAGAAACTGAAACCCTGGGTGGCCCGTCGCACCAGCGCTGCGGCAGACCAGCGAGGCTTGGTCAAGCAGCCGGGCTTGCTAATTTGGCGTATACATTTTCCTTCACTAGCGGATATGCGTTCAACTTGATAAGTGCGGGGCCATCGCGATTTCAATTTTTTTTCCCCGTCGGGGCCTTGGGTGTGTACACAGGGTTTCTTCGCCGTTGCTTTGACCGCCTTCTTGGACCAACGTCGACGCTGACAACAAAACAGGCAGGGCCATTTTTTCACCGTTTCCAAAAAAAAAGGTCCCTCGAAAATGGAGACGGCAAAAGAACGGCGACCGGAAACGGCAAAAAGACGGCTCCAGGATTGGAACCGGAGCCAGAACCAGTCAAAAATCGGCGATGGAACCGGTAACAAAAACGGCGTCGGAACCGGCAACAGAAAATGCAAAACGGAACCGGTAACAAAAACGGCCCTGCCGTTTCCAGGGCCTATTAAGGGGGGGGATTTGATGGCGGGGGCCATGATATTTCCCCAGATTTTATGGCGCCCCTTCTTTTTGTCATTAGGTTCCTGGCCCCCCCGCTGGGCCGCGCACGTGCCGCCGGTCATGATTTGCACCCCCCCCTCTTGGACACCCCCCTCTTGACCGCTCCCGAGCCACACAGTGTCAAGTCTCATCGCCGGATGTGGCACACCACCGTTCTGGATTGGGGACCGCGACGGCGTACCAGAGTGAGTCAGCCGGGGATTGCGCCTGGACGTGCGCGACGTGAGCTGGCAGGCTGTAAGCCTGACAGTGCGGACACCGTACCAGCTGTCCCACAGAGGATGGCGCAAAGCAAGCAGCAGCAGGAGCAACAGCAGGAAGAGGAGAAGCAGGAGACGAAGGAAGTTCGAGGTTGGGAGGCGGCGTAGGGCTATGAAAAGGAGGACGAGGATGAGGAGCCAAAATGCTTATGCAGAGGGGGCAGGCGAGCAGGGGAAGGAGGAGGACAGGCCCTTCTTTCTCGTCCTCCTCCCCCCACCTGCGCGCGCAAAAAGTTGGAAACACCTCGATCCCCGATCTTCGACGACGTCGGCAGCGACGGCGACGGCGTGCGAGCTGCTGCTGGCCCAGCCCTGGTGAAGGCGTACTGGTGAAGGCGAACATCCTGGACGCCATAGAGGACAAGGATTATTTCCATGCCATCATAGAGGCCCAAGAGATGGACTATGACGACGAGAAGGAGGAGACGGAGGAGAAGGAGGAGCAGCAGGAAGATGAGCTGGCGCACCAAGAGGGGGCGCCCTCGACGAAGAGCAGGAAAAGGAGGAGGAGGAGACCGGCGAGGAGGGAACTTTCCTACAGCACCAGCAAATATTAGGAAGGTCTGGCGGCCGGTGCCGCCGACCCTATTGGGGGACGGCGACGACGATGGCGGCGGCGGCGGCAGCGGCGACGACGACGGCGCTGACGCTCTGGAGCCTTTCTTGGGGCTCCCTTGTGAGCCTCTTGAGCTCTGTCGGGGCTTGGGCTGGGGCCGCGGCTGGGGCCAGCCAGGGCTGGGGCGTGTCGGGGCCCGGGGCCGGAGACGGCCGGGGCCGGGGCCAGAGCGGGCTGGGGCGCGGGGGGAAAACGTATTTGTGTGGCGACCCCCCCCGGAACCCTCCCAACACCTCCCCAAGACGATTCCCTGGGACTCCCCCATGACCCCCCCCCACGGCGCGGGGAAGGGATCAAGTGGAAGGGGTTTCCCTTCGTTTCCACTCCGATGTTGAGGAAGAGGGCCCAGGCAAACGGAGACTCAAGACGACGACTCCAACGGAAAAGCCCGACTCGAACGGACAAGCCCCTCACACACGCCGATTGGGCCGGCGGATTCCCCGAACCGTGTTTGCATTTAGGGGTTCATATAGTTCCTTTCCCAGGAATTGGGCCCGACGGCCGGTCTGGCGGCCACGTCTTCGCCTTCGCCGCCATGTTGCCGCCCGTCGTCGGGACCTGGCGGCCGGTCTGGCGGCTGCGTGGTCGCCGTCGCCGCCCCGTCGCCGCCGTTTGGGCCTGTCAGTCGGTGCGGCGGCTGTGTTGTCGCCGTCGCCGGCCCGCCGCCGCCCCATCGCCGCCGCGCAGGTAACTCCCATGGATTGCCCATAACATACTCCAGATTTCGTAATAAAGGGAGGGGGGTCTCATTTTGGGGGGGGGGGGGTCTCTTCCAGGCTATCTTGGAGGGCCTGGGGGGGTCTGGGGACGATGGTTTGGAGGGTTCTCCCACGGGGGGGGTCTGAAATGGCTTGTCTTGGAGGGTCCAGACCCCCTCCCTTTTATTACGAAATCAGGAGTATTGAATCACATCGGTGGCACAACATGTATTGCGCAAGATACACTGCACACTGTATAGTGCACCACCCAGATCTCGTTGCAATATCCTGCGCCACGCAGGTTCCACAACACACATTGCATCACACCGACTGCACAACAGATATTGCACCACATAGACTGCGCAACAAACAAGCACACACCATATACTGCGCATCGAATTTTGCACCGCGTACACTGTACCACATGGACTTGCACCACATAGACTGCACAGCATATATTGCACAACACAGGCTCTTTTGTCTGCAAATGACTTGCGATCTCCCCCCCCTCGGTTTTCTTGGTACCCTCTGGGGATGTGTAATCTATGTCTGATTCTGCCCCACCGTTGAGTCTAAGTATGAGTTCATAGAATCCCAGCTACCCCGGGTTTGACACCCCTCCTCTTCCTCGCCAAATAGTTCTATGCGCGCGTGCGCGCTCATCAAAAATCATCCATTTCCAACCAGAAGCCCTGCAAAACATTTGACAACATCCACACGCGCGCGTCGTCACGCGCGCATGCCGAATCTCTTCCAAAGCAGTAGGTTACGTGAGGATGTTGAAAGCGAGCGTCCCGAAAGCATTTTAAGCCCATTGTTGTCAGCATGGCTCTCTCACAAAAGTCCGCGCGCTTTTGCGAATTCTTAAGAACACCCTTGGTTTATCGACATGTTGATGACATGCGACCCAGCGGGCCTTTCGCGCGCGCATGTCGAAATCATTCGAACGCCCTTGTGCGCATGCTGGGGGGTGGGGGGCACGATCCTTGTCAAGTGCGACCCAGCGGGTCGCGCGCATTCAACCATGCGGGCCACTCGCACTCGAAATCCTCACAACACCTTCATCACGGACACGTGGACACCGTCGTCACCGGTGAAACCAGCACAGGAGCCGTCATTGGCCTTGCCGTCGTCATCGTCATCATCGCCACCACCGTCCTCATCGTCATCGTCGTCACCAGCATCGCTGCTATCATCACCGTGTCTGCCGCTGGGGCCATCATACCGCGCCCGCCCAAGAGGCCCCCACGGGCCCCCAAGAGGCCCCCAGGAGGCCCTCAAAGAGGTCCCCAGGAGGCGCCCGAGAGCCTCCAACGAGTGCCCCGAGAGGCACCAGAAGGCTTCCGAACAACCTCTTGCTGCAGGCGCTCACGAGGTCCACTGCTTTGCGGTGTGGGTGGGCCGTGCTGCTCTGCCGTACCAGTCGGCCGTGCTGGCCACATGGGGCCCAGGAGGCCCCCGCGCGGCCCCCCCAAGAGGCCTCCGAGGGGCCCCGAAGATGTGCCGAAGAGGCCTGCGATACAGTAGGGGTCTTGAAGAAGCAACCCTTTTCGTTGGGGAGGGACTCCGTGTTCCTTGATTGTTTCACAGTTTGCCTTAGGTTTTCCCAAGGTTTTCGACGGGGAATCGAAGTTTAACTTCTGGAGAAAAGGGGCCTTGTTCCTTATTCAGGGTTCCTTAGGTCAGCGCCCCGACTGTAGTGCCCATGATGCCCTGGGAGGTCTCCAGAGGGCGACGATGAGGCGCCGGGCGTGCCCCAACAGGCTTCCAAGAGGCCTCCAGGCGAGCGCGGTAGACCAGCACAGCAGATTGCGGCAGACCAGTGACTGTTGGTCGTGGGTGGTGGTCTTGTCCCCTGTTCTTCGGAGGAGGCAGGGTGCCCATACCTCTACCTTCCGGCCGTCTTCCCCCTTTCCTTGGGAGGCCCTCGTCACCACCGCTGAATTGGCCTCGAAATTCTGGTCAGAACGCACCTCGGGAGAGGTCCGGGGGGTAGCAGTACCGGTGCCTTTGGTTTCCCCAGTTCTTATTTGGTGGTTTGGTTTGCCGTGTTGGCTTGGTCTGCCGGGCTGGTCTGCAGTGTTGGCCTTGGTCTCTGCTTCGCGAGACCAGCACGCCACAGAGGTTCAGCACGGAGCACTGGACTGGCACGGCGGACTTGCACAGAGGATGAACGCAGCAGCCCAGACAAAAACGGCATACCAGAAGTTACAACATGGCCACGGCAGAAAAGCAGGATCTCTTCTCGCTTGCCGCTTGCTGTGCGCATGCTGGCTTTTCCGTCTGTCCCGCTCGCCGTCTATCGGGCTCGCGCTGTGTCTCGGCCTTCTGCTTGTTCATTCGAATATTGTTGCTTCGGCGAGAGATGGAGTCTGGCGGCGCAGGGCAGAGGGAGGGGCAAACCATAGCAAACTCTCCCCCTGAAGGGATATATCAGGGTTGGAAGAGCAAACGCGCTAAACCACCTACACCCTGACGGGTTGGTGGGGGGTGGGATTTACCATGCGGCTTTCCTCAGATAGTCCAATTTGCGTGGCGCGTCCAGACGCCGCGTACTTGGGTGCCCCTTGTCATGTTGGTCACTCGCCCCTGCGGCGAGTCTTGCGTTCGCTAAATCGACAAGTCGCTATGCTCACTTGGCAAAAAACGTTGGGATTCTTGTTCGTATCATTTTGACCTAGCGCTCCCGATGATTCAAAGTACGAGGCGCGTCCGCGCGCAGCCAACGTGCGCGCGCGTGTGCCCTGTATCCCACGGTCGTGTGCGATATCGTGAAGAGTTCTGTGTTTGCCGAAACGGGCAAACCGCCATGTTTCCTTGGATGCTCAAGTAGCATTTCAGCGCGCACCACGCTTACGGGGGGAGGCCCATTGGGGATCAGGTTGAATGGGGGAAGGCCGCTGGTGGGACGCCAGCGCGGGGAGTCCGATGGGCTAATGGGGGGAGGCTCGTGGGGGGATGGCGCCTATGTGGGTAAGCCTGAGTGCGGGGGAGGCAGCGAGGCGGCCCCAAGGGTCCTCCCCCCTGCCCCATCCTCCCTCCCTCCCTCCGTTTCACCCTCCCTCCTCCCTGCATTCTTGATTGTTTCCCTCGCTTCCAGCTTGGCCTCGGGACGCGGCTTTGGCCCTCGATGGCGGGCGGGACATGCCTGCCGGGGCTGCTTGCGATGCTTGTGATAGAGGTGGGCTGCCTTTCATTGTAGGCACATGGTGCACATATTCAGGATCCTCGCTTCGAATCTTCCCCGCCTCCTCCCTCTCCCCCTGCGGAAGACAGGAGGGGAGACCGAGGGCATCGACCGATCTGGCATCGCGGAATCGCTCCTTCGGCCTCTCTCGGGCGGGGCTAGGACAGCGATACACTCAACCCGCATAGTACAAGGATGCGCGGTAAGGATGCAAGGGCCTTCGGCGCCCATGCCGAGGCTCTTCGAGCGGGGTTGGCCATCGAAAGCTGTTGAGGATGGACTGAAGATGACCGAAGAGGCAAGGATGCAAGGGTACCCTTGTCAAGTCTGCGGGTTCACTGCAAGTCGTTCTGGACCGCTCTCAGAGCGGCCCAGGTGTTTGGAGAAGGTTGCGGCGCCCGATGACCCTCCAGAATCGCCGGATCTCAGAGATCCCCGATTCGTCTTGGTACGATGTTGCCCCTGTGCTGCCACCGTCTTTCTGTCCCTGGTCCGATCTGGTCCCTGTCCGGTCGCGCAGCGGCGTTCCTCAGGTCGGGAGGAGCGGTCTCATGGGCCATTCTTGCCGCGCGCGGACAGCGTCGGGACCTCCCCCTCGGAGGTCCCCAGATGGTTTCGCTCGGTAGCAAATCATTGGAGCTTAGAGTGCGTCCACGTGCGTTAGCGCTTGGTAATCGATGAGAAAGCGTCGATTCAGCGTCGATGAGTGTCGGTGTCGTATCTATCAGCGTCGAGCGTCTGCTCTTGCCGCGCAAGAGCCAGCAGGATGGCACGTCACACGAGTTGCTTCGGAAGCGCCCCGTGGTTCTCCGATCCGCGGTGGTGGTGGACGAGAAGCATGTACAGTCGGGTCGCTGAAGAAGGAACCCTTTTCGTTGGGGAGGGGCTCCGTGTTCCTTAAGTGTTTCACAGTTTGCCTCAGGGTTTCCTCATGTTTTCGATGGGGAATCGAAGTTTAACTTATGGAACAAAAAGAGGCCTCGCTCCTTGTTTTAGGGTTCCTTAGGTCAACGCCCCGACTGTACGTATCGGCGGCCTCGCGGGCTGGGCCCCTGGGCCGCGACGCCACGGCTGAGGCGCGCTTTCTGTTGTTTGTTCGCGGGTGCCCCGCGCGGGACGTGTCCCCGCGACCGCATATCCGCGGGATCGCACCCCGGAGTCCAGACCGCGACAGCGCGGATATCGGGGGTGGACAGAGCCCCCCACAGTGACATGTCGATGAGTGAAGTGTCCGTTCTCGGTTCTCGAGATGGCGCCGTGGCCGTCATTTTCCAGGCTTGCGCCCGCCAGGTTTGGGCCCCAGGTCGTTCTCACTAAACCACGTTTTACTAAACGGAGATCTGTCCATCCCCGAATACGGACACGCTCGCCGCTCGCGAGGGCCCGCGCTCAGAGCTCCCTCAAGGGCCTCGGAAGTGCCCCCCTGCTTTTCTGCACCCGCGGGGCGCCTCTGGCGTTCGGAGGCAGGGTCCAGGCAAGCCCTTTCGCTCCCCACTTGGCGACCCTCCCGGGGGCACGACGACTGCACGTGGGGTTGAGTCGGGCGTGTCCCTCTGCAGGGGGAAGATTCAGAAATAGTATTAAAAAATAGTCTGGGGCCGATCTTTCTTTTTTACTAGTTTGGCCCAGTTGGGGGGCATGCTGGGAGTCTTTTCCATTGTTCGCCCAAGATCCCTCTGTAGGGGGACGCGCCCGGCTTCACCGTGGGGGGGGGGGGGGGCAGGGATCTGCGAGCACCGCGGGGGGCACGGCAGGGAGGCAGACCGCCCCGGGGTCCAGCCAGCAGGGTCGAGTCGGGCGGCAGACCTCCGGTATTGGCCGGTGGCCCGCAGCCCGGCGGCGCCGAGCTGGGGCCGGGAGGGTCGGTCGGGGGTTGCGAAGGAGGTGCCCCGGCCCAGGGTGCCCTCCCTGCTGGGCCTGTCTGTCGGGGGCGGCAAAGAGGGGGGTGGTGACCAGGGGGGGGGGGGGATATCATGGCGGGGGCCATGACAGTTCCCCAGATTTCAAAGCGCCTCTTCTCATTCCATTACGTCCCTGGCCCCCCCCCCCTGGGCCGTGCACATGCCGCCGGTCATGATTTGCACCTCCCCCTCTTGGACACTCCCCTCTTGGCCGCTCCCGAGTTTGCCACCACCACCACCATAAGTTGGAGGGGGGAAGGATGTGGAGGAGGAGGAGGAGGAGGAGGAGGAGAAGGAGGAGGAACCCCCTCCCCCTCCAACTTATGGTGGTGGTGGTGGGAAGCAGGCCCATCACTCCCAGCTTTTCGCTCTGATTGTGGAGCCGCTGCCATGATTGGTTGAGTCGGGCCTGTCCCTCTACAGGAGGAATATTCCAGAATAGTCGCACAATAGTCTGGGGACGATTTGGGTTTCACTATGTTTGCCCATTTAGAGGGTAGACAGAAAACTATTTTTCATTTTTCGCCCGAAATTCGCCTGTAGGGGGACATGCCCGAGTGGACGTGCCCCCCAGCTTTTCGCTCTGACTGTGGAGCCGCCGCGACAGTTTTGGAGTTTGATGGACCTCCTACCCTGACGCGTCGAGTAGTGGCTTAGCCGTTTTCGGTTCGCGAGCGGGCGTCACAGTCGTCATCTTTCCGGGTCCAGGTCCGTCGGTTTCGGTTCTGGGCCGTGTTCACTCAAGGGTGGTCTACTACAGGGAGGCTTGTCCACCGCCGAACAGTTTCTCTCGTCCTCTTCCTTCGCCTCTCCTCCCCCTCCTCTGTCCTCCGCTCGAGGAGCAAAGGCCGGCGTGGACATCACCTCTCGGGCCCCAGCGCAGATCCCTTGGATCGGCGCAGGGACACCCCTCCCTGGCGCGCGGACCGCGCCATGGCTCGGCGCCGGACGCGCCGTCAAGGGGGGCCCAGCGCCGAGCCAAGCAATCCGCGCGGAGCTCCGAAAGTGCGTGTGTGCATGTCATCGTTTGCTTCTCGACACTCCCCCCCCTCTCCTGTCCTCCTCATCCCCCTCCTCCTCCTCCTCCTCCTCCTGCTCCTCTTTCTCCTCCTCATCCTCCTCCTTTCCCTCCTCCTTGTCCTCCTCCTCCTCCTCCTCCTCCTCCTCCTCTCCTCTCCTCTCTTCTCCTCTCCTCTGTCCTTCTCATCTCTCCCCCTCTTCCTCTCCTCAAGGAGTTTGCTCCGCTGCGTCGCCCCCGGGAGGCTCCGCCGTGCGGCGGCGGAGCTCGGGCGCCCCAGCGCTTCCCCATTAGGGGCCCGCGTCGCCATGGTGCAGCTCATCTGCTCGGCCGCGGAGGGGCTGTCCTCCTTCGAGGCCCGGCACACCCCTCACACTTCCTTCTCCCTCCTCCTTCTGGCTCCCCCCTCCCCCTCCCTACTGCTACAGGCTGCCCGTCTTCCTGCTGCTCCTCCTCCTCCTTCTCGCCCTCTCCCACCCCTTGCCTCGCGCTTTCCCGCACTTCGCCTCGCCCTCCACGACGGGGGGGGCGAGGAGCGACGAGGAAGAGAGGCTGACGGAGGATGAGGAAATAAGTAGAGGATGGCTGTCCTCCTTGGAGGCCTGGCTGGGCTCGTTGCGATCCCTCCGATTTGATTCGATTCGATCTCGCTGGCTTCTGGTTCCGACTCCGAATCGACTCCGGATTCTGATGCGGGTTCCGACTTGACGATGCAGGCCTGTGACATTGCCGATTCGATTTTTCCCGATGCGGCTGCCGATCTCCGCTGGTACGAGTGACTTCGATCGCCGATCCGACCTATCGGTTCGGTTCTGGGCTCTTCTGGGCTGGGGAGCGCCACCTCCCTTCATATTCAAGCAGTGGCGAAGCGTCCTGGCTCACCTATAGCCCTACAAAAAAAATGGTCTACGAACCTCTTGTGGTTTCCACGACATGTTCTTAGAACATTCCTGGTTGAGATTGTCTCGTTTTAGCACATCGGGTCTATGTTCTAAGAACATTGTTTCTGTGTGTGGAACATTTTGGGGTTCTCAGAGCATGCCATGTAGGACTATAGGAATGCCGGGACGGTCGGTCCCTGCTCAAAATGGGGGGTGGCCACGACTGCTCCAACAAGGGCCCGCAAGGGCCCCTTCGGGGGCCTTTTTCGTCCCCCCCCACTGGGGCCGCCCCGATCTGTTCGCAACGGGCGTTTGCGCCTGGCTTGGGGCCCTTAAAGACCCTCTCAGATCGATCCGGCTAGGAGAATGGCGCAGGAAATGGGGAGGGTTGAGGCGACCCGTCCTCCTCCTCCTCCTCCTCCTCCTCCTCCTCCTCCTCCTCCTCCTCCTCATCCTCACCCTCCTCCTCCTCCTCCTTCTCCTCCTCCTCCTCCTCCTCCTCCTCCTCCTCCTCCTCCTCCTCCTCCCCCTCCTCCTCCTCCTCCTCCTCCTCCTCGGGTCGCCTACGGCCCTGGAGGAAACCGTGCAGGGGGGTCTAGGGGTTGGGTGTTCGACCATGGACTCTTGAGCGCAACCCTTCAGCTTTCGCGCCGAAGACCGCTGGGAACCGCCGAAGACCGTTCGAAGTCCGCCGAAGACCGCCGAAGACGGCCCGGTTGGGAGCCTTGGGACGAGGGTCAGTGCAAACGGGGTCAGCCAGAGTGTCCGACCTTGCAGGATCCTGCAGGGCCAGGGTCGCACTGGCCCGGGCTTAGGTGCAGGATCCTGCAGGATCTTGCCGGACCCTGCGCATGGACCTAGGCGTGGGTGCAGGATCGTGCAGGGGTCTGCAAGGCCTGACTGACCCGGGTCTGGATTGACCCGGGTCAGAAGATCCCCGGCCCAGGAGCGGTGGGTAGTGAGGGGTCCATGGTCGAACATTTTCAGTCAACCCGCATAGTCAGGATGAGCAACCTCCTGAGGTTCCCCTTGCATCGTTCCCCTTCGGCCCGTCTTTGGCCGCTTTCGCTGGCCGCGCCCCGCTCGCAAAGTGTCGACGTCGCCTTCCCAGGCTCATGTATCCACATCGTGCGTCCATGTATTATTAGGGTTGACTGTAGTCGGGCTCCAGTCGCGTTCTCTCGCGATGATGCCTTGCTCACGGCTGTTGGAGGTATCGTGCTGTGGAGGTTTGGGATCCTGGGTGGGATGCTCGAGGGAACAAGTAGGCGAAGATGAAGAGAAGGACGAGAACGAGGACCAGGAGGAGGAGGAGGAGGACGAGGAGGAGGAGGAGGAGGAGAAGGACAGGAGGACGACGGCACATTTTTGCCGCAGCGCCAGATCTCGGGGGTGCCAGACCTCTGACGTCGTGGCGTGTTAACTCGTGTGCTTCTTCTCAGTATCGTTTCACCGACCTCCATCCACATCCCCATCCCCATCCCCATCCCATCCCCTTCGAGACCCCCTATCAAGTTACCCCCCAGTTGGTGATACACCCCTCGAAACCCGAAAGGAACGGCCCATATCCCCATCAAGGGGGGTAACATCTGCCAGTGGGGCCCAGGCCACGCCGCTGAAAACAGGGATCGGATAAACGACGCTCACATTCCTGATATTTTCGGGGGCGACAGGGGGGGGCAGCGAGGGCCGCAGAAAAGAGGCCCCTTGGGCCCCTCCAGGGGCCCGTTCGGGCCCAAGAGGGTGCCTCTAGGGTTCGAAGGGTGCACCTTCCCTTCCCCCGCCCCCACTTGTCGCCACTCCACGAAGCCTCGCCCAGGGAGGTCTTGGGACCCCGCGTCAGGAAGATCGTGACGTCGGAGGCTTGAGTGCGATTGCGCCGAAGGCGCTCTCAGATGCTTGGGCTTCTCCCGGTCCTCTTTGGGCGCGCTCGTCGCCACGGCCAGATTCAGGAGGGAAAGAAACACACAGGCACAATGAATCGTCGATTCCCAGGAAAAGATGGGAAAATATGGGAAGTGTGGGGGGCGACAAAAACCCAGAAAATATGCGAAAAGATTGAGAATCCTTTCATTTGTGTGTATTTATGTGTGTGTCCCAGTTCCCCATCCACAGATCCGCTTCGAAGTCCGGGCCTGGCGTGGCGCCACGAGGAGTCCGCAGTGGAGGCCCATGCCAAGTAGCGCCCCGCGCGCCTCCTCCTCCTCCTCCTCCTCCTCCTCCTCCTCCTCCCCCTCCTCCTCCTCCTCTCCTCCTCCTCCTCCTCCTCCTCCTCCTCCTCCTCCTCCTCCTCATCCTCCTCCCCCCCCTCCCCCTCCTCCTCCTCCTCCTCCTCCTCCTCCATCTCCTCCTCCTCCAGGCCTGCAGTGGGTGTCTTGGGTTTCGATGGCTGTGCTGTGGAACGCGTGACGCTCACCCACCAGAAATCCATGGACGTCCTGGGGTCTCAGGGTTGGGCATCTTGCGGAAGGTCTCTCTCGTTGCGGCCCCCCCCCCCCACCAGGCCCTCCCGGACCCAGACCCAGGATCGGGGCGCGTGCTTCTTTGGCCAGGGCAGGAGGGTGAGAGTGCCGCCACTGCGTTGAAGGTCGAGCATTGGGATCCTGATTTGAATCGGGCACGTCCCTCTACAGGAGGTATGCTCAAAAACGGTCAAAACGCACTATATGAACGACTTTCGACTATTTTGGCTATGTTTAACCTTTCATGAATATGCGTCGCTTTCCATCCAAACTCCGTCTGTAGGAGGACATGCCCGACTTAAATCTTGATGATTATTGATATTGTTCAGGCTTCGAGTCTCCCCCATCAGCCCATCGAAAAACAATCGCAGGGCGTGTTGCTTTGATGAGGGGTGTATAGCAGCAGACGCTGAAACGAACAACAGAGGACGAGGACTGGTTCAATCCAATCAAGGCCTTGACAGGTCCTTCCCTCTGGGAGCCATTTGGGGGCCTCTCGGGGTCGTCTTGGAGACCTCTTGAATTACTGTTGGAGGCATTTGAGGCCCGCATGGAGCCCCCTTGCAGGTCTTTGGGGGCCCTCGTGGGGGTCTCTTGGGGCCCTCTCGGAGGCATGTTGGAGGCTATCCAGACAAAGTCTGGGCTATGGTGAGCGTTCTTGGAGGCCATCTTGAGCTAGTGGAAGCAGTCCTGTGGCCATCTTGAGCCGTGTTGGGCGTTCTAACGCCCCGCGGTTTTTTCCCCTCCAGATGCAGGCGCAGGGAGTAGGGGGAGAGGCCACCCTCTCCCCGAATGGGAAGAGGAATGTCTTAGTGCTTAGTGGGTTGGTGAACAAAGTAAGCTCGCCATGGTTGGTGTCCTCCTCTCAGGGGTTCCAGGGCTGGTTCATGATCTGGATCGCCTTCTCGATGTTCGGGTACCTCGTGCTGACGGGGCTGTCGATCGCCGCGTTCGTGTACTGGTACGTGTACCCGACGTACGAGAAGTGGTGACAGAAGGGAGTGGTGTGGATTCGCAGTTCTTCTTTGAATTTCGCCCACACGCCCCAATCCCTAATGTGGTGTTCCTTCCCCCCTTGTGCACCTTGCTTTAACCAAACATCCTGTGGTGCTGGGTCCACGTTTTGAAGAGAGCCCCGCGTCCACTCCTCTCCGCTCCTCCCCTCCTCCTCCCGTCACACTCCTCAGTTTGGCACACTCCTCACACGTTTCGTGGCCCCACAGCGAGCTCCACCTGCGGCCCCAGTGGCTGCGCCCGCATGCCGCAACCCCCTCACGTCGGCACACACACACACACACCTCACACGTTTCGTGGCCCCATTGGGAGCTCCACCTACGGCCCCAGTGGCTGCGCCCGCATGCCGCCCCCCCCCCCCCCTCATTTTGGCACACCCCTCACACGTTGCGTGGCCCCACAGGGCGCTCCACCTCAGAAGGCCCCAGTGGCTGCGCCCGCATGCCGCCACCCCCGCATTTTGGCACACACGCACACCTCACACGTTCCGTGGCCCCGTCGGGAGCGCCACCTATGGTCCAGTGGCTGCGCCCGCACGCCGCCCCCCTTCATTCTGGCACACACCCCCACACGCTTCGTGGCTCCATAGGGAGCTCCACCTAGGACCCATTGGCGTCGCCCGCATGCCGCCACCCCTACATTTTGGTACACCCCGTTCTGGCTGACGTCCGCGCCCCCATGCGGGCCGCCCCACAACTGCATATGGTTGGGTCTTTCGCCAGGGTACTTGTTTGGCCCTAGGTCTTCGGACCCATATGCCAGGTCAACTATTCACTCTTGAGTCATGCCTTCTCCTCCCCTCCTACCCTCTTCCCTCTGGATTCCTGTACCCTCTCACCATCCTCATCCCACCCTCCGCCATCCTCCTCTTCTCCCTCCGCTTCCTCATCCGCCTCCCTTCCCCCTGACATGCCTCGTCCTCCGTCCCTCTCAGTCTTCCGTCCCCTCTCCCAGATTGGAGAGAGCAAGTGGTGCCAGAGGGGAGGGGAGAAGGGGACGGGAAAGGGAATCCGATATGAACCAGTCCGATTCGACATGACCCCATGCCTTTTTGATACCGATCCGACTCCAAAATCAAGGTTCCGATCCGATTGCGATTCGAATTTTCGTTTGCCGACGTGGCTCCGATTTCAAATATTTGACGGGTTTGCTGTTTCGATCCGATTTCCCGAACCGATGATGGCCCCTGCTGAAGTGTCAGGGTGGGACGGGGAGGATGGGAGGAGGAGCGATCTACCTGTCCTCCCGAGGAGAGGGAAGAGGGTCGAGGAAGAGCTGGAGAAGGATCGAGGAGACGGAGGCGGATCAATCTGCCGGTGCCTTCACTGACGCATCTTGAAGCCTGAGGAGGCAGGGGAGCTCTCCGGAGGCCTCCGCAGAATTGAGGGGGGGGGGCGGGCGTACGCAGAGGGACGCGGGGGAGCGAGTGTCCGCGGTTCGGTCTGTTCCGCTGCGTCGGCGTCGGCTGCGTTCGGTCAGCTCGATTCGGTCCGTTTTCGTGTGGTTGCCTGGGGCCTGTCGCCAAGCCATCGTTCCACACATCGCCGCTTGCCCCCCCCCCCCGTCTGCGTCAGCTTCGGGCCCCGGCGGTGACGGGGAACAGAGATCGAGTCCAGGCGGTGTGCCCGTCCGCCAGCGGCCTCCGCAGGCTCATCACTCATCACTCAGGATGCGGAGTCCTCGCCTCGGGCGCAGGCCTTGAGGCTCACCTTGCCCGAGGATCGTGCAGCGGCTGCCTGCTTCGGCCGGGCGTGGCGCGGGCTCGTCCGCGGTTCCTGGGCGGGATTGCACGCACCAGCCGAACTCCAAGAGAGGCGGAACATTGTCCACGCAACGAGAGGCATCGAGTGACTTTGTCATTGGGGTCTGCCCGCGAACTCGCCGTCACACGATCGGCCACATGTAGGGCGAACTGATCGGCGGCCGTTCGCGCATCAGGAGGTGCCGTCTGTTGAGAAGGGCGGGGAGGGGAGGGGCGGGAGGAACGTGAAGGGGGGAAGGCGAGGAAGTGGAGAGGGACGGGGGATGGGGCAGGCGAGGGATGGGGGCGGACAGGGTGCATCCGTGCACCAACAGCGGCCCGGGATGCCCCCTGCCGACGTGCGCGGCGGGGGATGATGGAGCAGTGGGGAGGGAGGAAAAGTGAGGAATGGAAGGGCGGCTTGCGAGGGGAGAGGGGGAACACAAGTCACATAATCAAGAGGAACAAACTTGCTGGAGGTTTTCGTTTCTGGTCCGACGAACTCATGAGAGCTGCTCTCTCGATGCGCTGGGTGAGGTAGAGGGTTGCTACGTGGGAGAAGGGAGTGGAGGTGCACGAAGACCAACCCGAGATACCCCTCGCCGACTTACGTGGCCGGGGAGTTCTTCCTCGGGGGGGTGCTCGGTCCTCTAGCCGTGACCTTCGTCTCCTCCATCCACCTCTACCTCATCGGCAACGGCACGTTCAGGCGCGATTCACCCCCATCTCCATCTCCTTGCCGGCTTCTGGCTCGCACCTGCTCGCGTCTTGCCTTCTCCTCCTCATCCGCTTGTCTTCTTTCTCAGGCTCCCCTGCGCGCATCCTCTCCTCCTCCTTCCCCGCCCGCTTCGGGGGAGTTTGTCGAGCATTAGTTGTCAATGGGGTGATCGATTTTGTGAGCGTTCATCATGAAGGGCCGACTTTGTGTACGCGCGGAATCATGGCCCACCCTTGGGGCCGACATCTGCCCCCACTCGAGGATGGTGCTCGGCAGATTGATTGGGACCGTGAGCTCTCTCTTCCGAACCCCTGCGCAAGTCAGGGCAAAGCTTTTGTGAACGGGGCTTGCACACATCATGCTATCAAAGAATTCAATCGAGCGGCCTGGCCTCTGTCTGTGTTTAACGAGGCTGCGGCCGCCCTGCATTTCCTCTTCCCCCTCCTGCATGCTGGCCAATTAGTTGTTCGGTGCCCCCGTTTAGCTCCATCGCTGGTGCAGCCATTCTGCATCGACGCCGAGGAAGCAAGTTTTTAACGAGGCTGACGAGCATGTCTGCTCTATGCGGTGTCCCGGCTGGGCCCCGCTTCCTCAGACCCGCCAGGCTGGGTGAGTTTTCGGGGTAGTGTGGGGCCACCGTGTGCTTGTCTGGATCCAGTGAGCTCGTCACGGACAGTACTACTGCCAAGCTGGTCCACAATCTCCCCAGGGATAACCAGGCAGGTGTCAAGCAAATGTATGTTGGCGTTGTTTTGTTTTTGGTCATGAGTAGGCCTGAGGGTCGGTTTACCACGGCCCAGCAGAGTCTTTAGGACGAATTCTTTGCTGAAGGCCAGGTCGTCCGTCTCGGTAACCATCTTGCAGACCTCGGGGAAGGATGCTGTGCGCAGCCACCCCAGAGACGATGAAGCTCTGCTGTCTGCGAACCGTTGTGTGACATACCGTCAGACTTCGGGCAAACTCACAGCCAGGCTTTTGCCGACGCGCGTGCCTCTCAGCGCTGCCAAGGACATCGGAGGTGTCCCCCCAGCATGGCGTTCCTTGGCGATCGGCGGCGCCTGGCGGCCACGCCTGTTTTTGTTGTTGGCGCTGTCCCAAGCGCCTCCAGGTCCGTCGCAGGTCCGTCGCCCTAGGGATGATGTCGAACTCCCCATTGGGCTCCTATTCTGGTACCAAGGCGTGCAGTGTCGAGAGGTTGACTGCGTGCTAGCCATCGATGTGTAATCTCCCCATGCAGCGACGGTGGTCAGCCCATTGTACGTATGAGATACGAGTGCGGCACATCCCATGGTTTTCTCCGCGGTCTTCATAAGATGTGTGACCTTCCTCCTGGCAGTTCGGAGTGTGGGTTTCGCAGCAAATCTGTATAAGCCGCTGCCCACAGAGACGCACTGTTTCAGTGCAGCTGGTGGCTAGCCTCAACGCAGGACGCTTGGAAATATTGCTTCAAGCTGCCCCCAACTGGCTTCCATCCGCCCCCTTCTGCAGCCCGCCCCACTTCCGAGGGAGGAAACCGACTACGTTTCCCAGTTACTTCGTGTGCAGCCCGCCTCTTGTTCCGAAGAGGATGCGGCGACCGTCAAACCGCCCAAAGGGGAGCGAGAGGACGAGGCAGATCAGTTCACGAGATGATGTACCGCTTTGGTTGTTTCTTGATGGATCTTCCAGCTCGCCACGTCCCCACATGGGGGAAGATAAGATTGTTTAAGCTCTCGCGGGAACGAGAACAAACCAGCACCTCCTTCCCCACGCATTTTTTCGTGTTCGTCGTCGTCGTCGTCCGCGTCGTCCTTTCCGCATCCCTCACGCACAAACTTCGAGTATACATCGGTCTTAGGGCACCCGAGCAGCCTTCAGTCCGTGCGTGCGTTCCTCACGCCCTTTTTTATCCCGGGACGCACGATCGGGGCGGGCGGCGGGAGGCGGGAGGAGGACGACGACGATGAGAAGGAGGAGGTATTCCTCTCACGGCGGACGTCACGCACGCAGTAGGGTTGCGAGGGGTATCGAAGTTTCCATAGCCGCTTGGGGATTCCAAGGGTAATTGCAGTGCGGCCACGCCGAAATGAGGAACGGCTTGGGTTCTGAAGTGGTTGTTGTGCTTCCTCATGTCAGCCACGGTTGTTCCTTTTAGCGTTCCTTGTGCACCCAGGCCTTCTCGGGGCAAACAGAGGTGCCGTTCCTTCGTTTCGCGTTCCTTGTGGGGGTAGCTCGACTGTAGGCCCAAGCGAGATGATCATGAGGAGGTTGAGGATGATGAGGAGGAAAAGGAAGGATCACAAGTTTGCCTGCATCCGTTCACTAGCTGTGGCGCGCTGGCCCGTGGGTTTGGAGCGTCCTCCATCCCCCCCTCTTCTTTTCTTTGTCCTGGAAGGTGCGGTGGGAAGCGCGTGTCCACCCCGCCGCTACTTTAACACGGGGACCCCCCCTCCCCTCGTCAATTCATCGGAGAGTTTCTCTACTATTGTACTTGGAATGTGCCTGCGGTGCTCTACTGGGTCTTTGAGGACTCGCGTTGCGTAGGGGCCAGCGATGGAGGACGTCGCATTGCATCTGTGATCTTGCTCGTCGTCGTCCTCATCCGTCTCCTTCCCTTCCTCCTCGTTTTCGTCATCGTCTTTTTTGTCGTCTTCCACTCCAGAGTATTGTTATGTTCCCTACCCGATGTATTCCTGTTTCGTGGTCTCCTCATCTTCGGCTCCGTGTCCTCAGGCCTCCCCTCAACGTCGTCCTCGTTCCGCTTGACATGTTCCGTCGGGCCCTCCCTACACGTAATGTGGGCAACATCACCCCAAACAAGATCTTGCAGCCGGTGAGGTACGCGTACGCGTGCGGTTGCCGGTTCCCCGCCAGGCAACATTGCGACACCCCGTTGACGTGGCAGCACCGCTTGTTGTCGGCTCTGGTGGGCGTCGTGATAATTGATTTCTACGAGTGGGGGTGGCATTACCTTGGTCATTGGGTGGAAAGCCTCTGGACAGTCCACAAGCATCATCATAAGTACTACAACCCGACGCCTTTCGGCACCATAGCAGATTGGCCTATGGACAATTTGATGCGGTCGCTGTACCCTATAGTATGCTTCGCGGTCTCCCTCACATTGTTCGGGCAGTACTTGGACATTGACGTGCTGTACCTCGGCCTGGGCTTCGTTCTTCAGGTCTACGGCATGTACCTGCACTGCGGGCACGAGTTGGAGTGTCTCCCCTACAACAGCAAAATCTGGAACACTAGCTTCCAGCACTACGTCCACCACGCGGTGTCGGTGAAGAACAAGCCTTTCCACACAGGATTCTTCGTGAAGCTGTGGGACAACCTGGCAGGCAGCGTTTACGTTGGCACACAGGTGATCCCCGCGCTGGAGGACCAAAAGCTCGGCAACAGGCCGCGCTGCCGCCAGGAGGAGGATATGGTTGGGGAGGGTGAGGCGGACGGATGAGTAATTAGAGGACGGAGGAGGAGGAGAAGGAAAGGGGTTGGCAGCAGGTCTCGGGAGCGCTGGGAGAAGGAGGTGGAGCCCAATTTGCCCGACTACAGCGTGTTGCTCTCCCCCAGCTGGTGGCTCAACAACTGGCACCTGGCGCCGGGCCTCAGCATCTGGACCATGTGAGTTTTCTGGGATGCCCGTCCTTCGTGCCGGACGAAAGGGGGGGATTGTGGAATGGGGGGGATCTCTCCTCCTCCTCCTCCTCCTGCTCTTCCTCCTCCTCCTCCTCCTCCAAAGCCAGTCGGGTAGACGTAAGACTCGAGCAAGCCGGAACTCGGGCTTGCCGACTTTTTTGTTGACGAGCGGAAGGGCGGGGGAAGGGAAGGGGGGGGTCACGACATTTGCTGCACGCAGCTGGTTTCGGCCCCACCGAGGGGCCCATTCCTCGAGACATGGCCGCCTCCGGCGCCGGGAGGCGCCGGGAGAATCAGCTACGCGAGCCGATTCTCCAACCCCCCCTTTGCTATCCCCCCCTTTTCGCCCGTCCCGGGTCATGTGCAGCGACTGTACCTGGTGGCCGTCGGCTCATCCCGCCGCCATTCAGGAGGGGAAAAACACACAGACACAATTCATCGTCGATTCCCAAGAAAATATGGGAAAATGTGGGAAGTGGGGGGGAAGACAAACGCCCAGAACAGATGGGAGACTATGGGGAACATGTTTATTTGTGTGTGTTCATTCGTGTGTCCTGGGGCCCCTTCAGCCTCGCGTGTGTCGCGGGCAGGGCGCCAGTCGGAGGCCTCTTGAGGTGTCTCTTCTGGCGGCCTCTCCCAGGCCGCGCCCCCCCCCCCCCCGGGGCGGGGAGAGCGCCTCGCTGCGCGCGTCGCGGTCCAGGTCGGAGCGCTTGCCCTTCCCCGAGGGGCTGGCCGCGCGGGGGGGTGGCGCGAGGGCGCGGTGCACTCCTCTTCCTCCTCCTGCACCTCATACGTCTCCCCCTCTCCTTCTCTCCTCCTCCTCCTCCTCCTCCTCCTCCTCCTGGAGCCTCTCGGGGGGCCTCTCGGGAGGCCTCTTTGGGGGGGGGGGGCCTGGGAGGCCTCCGAGGGCCCCTGAGACAGATGCTGCAGCTCTGCGCTGAAGCGCCCGAGCCCGTGCCGCCCAGTGCCGCGCTCCACGGTGTCGGCAGGGCGAGGGCAGACACAGGGAGTGAGGTGGAGAGTCGGTGTCGGCACGGGCAGCTAGAGGTATCGGGAGGTGTGCGGTTCGGCAGGGGGGACACGCAGGGCCGGACCTAAACGCTGTTTTGCTGGACTTCGGCTGTAGTTTGTTTTTCGCTGTGGCAGGGGAGTGCAGGGAAACCAGGTAGGTAGATCAAAACGAAGCACAAAACGATAACAAAACGAACACACAACGTTTAGGTCCAGCCCTGTGGTTGATGGGGTCAGAACGAGAAGAACTAGTAGCACGAACATAATCACGAGAGAAGTGGCATCAATTCATGGACGTCGGCCATGGACCCTGGCGGGACCGCGTGTGTGCCGCCAGAGTGCCCACAACGGCTCCAGAGGCTCCCAGGAGGGTCTGAAGACGGTCCAAGAGTTCGGTGGCGGAATCCGAACCCTAACCTCGTCGATCAAAGGCACCTCGATCGGCGGCGGAGGTTAGGGTTCGGAGTTCGTCGCGCACGTGGCGAAGTCTGAACCCTACCCCCGCCTCGCATCAATTGTGGAGAGTCAATGGCTGGTGGGGGTAGAGTTCGCATGTCGCCACCAATCGAGGCTCGAGGATCGAATATCGAGGGCCCTAAGTCTGCCCAACATGGCCCAACACGCTCTCAGGAGGGCCCATGGTCGGCCCTAGACTGCCCACGATGCTCGCAAGACTGCCCAACAGGCCTCCGAGATCCCCGGAGGGCCGCACGAGGACCCCCACGAGGGATCCAATATGCCGGGCCGTTCCCTTCCCTTGGGCGTTCGAAGAATCTAGAAATTCTCATGTTCGAGCTTCTGAGACCCCCCCGGAAGGCCCAAAAGGACCCCACGATCGCACCAGCACAGCCAAAGTTGCCCCCAAGACGGCATGATAAGACCTCAAGAGTCTCCTAAGAGACCCTTAGACGGCACAAGAGGGGCCCAAGACGGCCGAGTAGGCCCCCAAGACAGCCAAGTACCCCCCCGAAGGATCCAGGAGGCCGGATGCACTTCCAGAGGGCCCCGATTCTGCCCAAGAAGGCCCCACGACGGCCCCACATGCTCTTAAGGCCGCGCCAGAGGACACCAGGGCGCCCCAGCACGGGCCCGGGAGGGCCCGCAGATGTTCCGCGCCGGAAACAGAATTGCGTCGGCAGAGTTCGTGTCGTGTCGACCGGCGGCGACCCCGCCGCCGGCGTTCAACGTTGAACGCCGCCGGCGACCCAGAATCGATCGATGTTGAACGATTGGACGTTGCGGAAATGGCCGATCGTTCAAGGTTGAACGATCCCTGCGGTGTCAAAAACCAACGCCGGGGTCGACACGACACGAACCTGCCGTACAGATCCACGCTGATGTTTGTGTGTATATATATAACGCATGTTCCCCAAGCAGTGCTTGACCTGAGGGGTTCTTGCAGTCAACCCGCACAGTAAGGATGAGCGAATTCCCAAGGCTACCCTTGCATCCTTCCCTCACTCGGGCCATCCTCGTGCCGCCTTCGCTGGCCGTGCCCCGCTCGCAAAGTGCAAACATGGCCGTCCAGGCACTTGCATCCTTACCGCGCATCCTTGTTGAACGGGCTGGATATATTTGTTTTCTAAGAAACTGTGCTCCGTCGTCGGGTCCGCCGCCTTATGGTCGCCGTCTCCGCCCCGTCGCCGCCTACGTCGCCGCCCGTCGTCTGGTCTCCGTTGACGGGTCCCCTGCCTTGTGGCCGTCGCCGCCCCGTCGCCGCCTTGTCGCCGCTCCGTCGTCTGGGCTTCGGTGTCGGGTCCGCCGCCGTGTGGTCGCCGTCGCCGCCTCGTCGCCGCCCCGTCGCCGCTCCGCCGCCGTCGCCCCGCTGTAGCCCCCCCCCCCGGTGTATCAGGAGGGAAAAAAAACACAGACACATTTAATCGTCGATCCCAAGGAAAATGCCGGAAAATATTGGAAGTGGGGGGGGGGGAAGACGGAAATCCACAAAAATGGAAAAATATGGGGAATCCTGTTATTTGTGTGTGTATTTATTTGTGTGTCCCAGGGCCCCTTTAGTTCAATCCAATTGATTGTCATTGATCGGGAAGGCCCGTTTGCGGCTCCGCGTGTGGCCTTGTGTTCGCCCGTCGCCGCCGCCCCGTTCCACCCCCCCCCACCGCCGTGTTGCACTCGCGTTCCGCTGCAGTCGCATTACATTGCTTTTGCAACCGCACTGCACTGCAATCGCACTCGCACGGCGTTTCGATTGCACTGCTTGCGCTGCTCTTCCTCGCGCTGTGCTGTGCTGCACAGCTTCGCGCTGCGCATAGCGTTGCATGGCGTTCCGTTGCGCTGCACAGATTTGCATTGCGTGCATTGTGTTGCATTGGTTTGTGTTGCATGGGTTTGCGTTGATTTGCATCACCTAGAGTACAACATATGGATCACACCACATTGATTGCGCCACCTAGATTGCACCCCGTGGATTGCCAGACGCTGGCTAACATACACAGAGAGGGTACACGCCAGTCGACGTATTGTTCGGATTCCCAGGACCCAATCGTCCTCCAGCGCCTTCCTACGGATCCGCTGTCCTACGCACTGATTCAGTATAATTCATCAGATTGGCGGGTATACACGTACAGAAAGAGCGAGAGAGAGAGAGAGAGCGAGAGATGAGAGAGGGGAGAGAAAAAGAGAGAGAGAGAGACACACACATACATAGATATGTTTAAGAGGGAGAACTAATGGTACGTATAGTGGCATTTCGGTATATATGTACAGTGGGGGAGATGCAGATACCCAACATGTAACGTGTCAGAGACATTTAGTGAGCATGAGGTCTTGCTTTAAGGCATCTTCTCTGTTCTGCAGCCTTTTCGGCGACGCGAATTAGGTTTTTCGCATTTTCTTCTTGGCAGCATACTCGACGAGCGTCTGAGTCGAGCGCTATCGTCAGCGCAGGCTGCGCCAACTTTTTGCCTCGGGGGGGCCCAGTGCTGGTGCTCGCTTCCGTGTCTTGTCCAAAGTGAGGGACAGCTGATATCACAGCGGCAGCTTATATTCGCTCCCCTCCCCCAGGGTCCTTCTCCTTCTGTTCCCCTTCCCCATTCCCAGCGGTTCTACGTCCCCCCCCTTTCCCCTTCTCCTTCCGCCCTTCTCCTCTGTCTTCCCCCCCGCGCTCCCCTCCCCCTCCCCTCCCCCATCCCCGCCGCATCTTCCTTCCTTCCCTTATCATCCTCCCCCCGCCCTCCTCGCCCGCCCCTCCTTGTCCACCGCCGTCCTCCCCCTCACTTTCATCCTGCTCCACCGTCCTTCCCCTCCTCCTTTTCTCTTTTTCTTCTTCTTCATGTTATTATTCTTCTTCGTCAACCCATCGCGAACTCCACGAAACAGGCACGGCGAACGACCGAACCAGAACAAGGAGTCAAACAGCATCACGAGCCTTTGGAAGCACGTCGGGCCAGGATCGATATCCTGGTGAAAGCTTGCCCGCAGCCAGGGCCTTGCATTATCCTCCTCATCCTTCTCCTCCGCCTCCTCCTCCTCCTCCCTGGCAGTGTGATTGATGCGCGGTGCGCGTGTAGCATACGAATGTGCACGTGCGAGTTTGCATCAGACATGTTACGCACCTGGATTGCTCACCGGCAGCGCACTATTACCATAACTTCTCCTCCCTCCCCCCTTTCTCCCCCTGCTCATCCGCCTCCTTCCTTCTCCCTCCTCCTCCGCCTCCTCCTCCTCCTCCTCCTCCTACCTCCTCCTCCTCCTCCTCCTCCTCCTCCTCCTCCTCCTCCTCCTCCTCTCCTCCTCCTCCTCCTCCTCCCCCCGCCCTCCTCCTCCGCCTCCTCCCTCCTCCTCCTCCTTCCTCCTCCTCCTCCTCCTCCTCCCTCCCCGCCCCCCTCCTCCCAGCGCGCGCATCTGGCTGGCCCGCCCGAGACTCGCTGCCCCGGCCGCCCACGCTGCCGCCGGCGGGGCCCCTCTCCGCGCCCCGCCCGCAGTCTCGCCGCGCCGGCCGCGGCCGCAGACTCCCGCGGG